GCTCGGCTAGTGCGCGGTCCAGCCCTGCGCCGCCGTTCTACAACATGGGATACGATGACGACTGCGACTTCATTGACGACGATGGGGACGATGAGAAGGTGCTTGTGGTGGAGGCATATGGCGTGGCGGACAATGAGGTACTGGCCAGAGCTTGGTGCTCACACTGGGGACTCAGTGCGGTGGTGGCTGATATACGAAAGACGTGGTGAGTTTTTTTTTTTTCATTTCTGAGCTACCGAGTGCCGGGGATAGAGTTGCTGACTTGGTGGATAGCATGGCTTGTGCAATTCGGGAAGCATATGCTGCTACTATCACAGTGGTTATTATGGTTGATTCGCGGTATGATGGGGATGCGGAGGCGTGAACCGGTGGGGAGGAGGCCCATGATTGAACGAATGATTGATGAAGCGTATCTGTAGTAATATTGCTAGCTTTGTGGATTGAATATACCTGATTTGAAGGTCACGCGGACAATTTTTTTTATTTTTATTTTTATTTTTTTTGGTTGAGGTATGGATTTGCCAGGGGTGTTTTTGGGCCTTGAGAAGAGGAGACCCCGACCCCCTCGTGCCGGTGGTACTCGGTCGGTCATAGCTGGTCTGGAGAGGTGTGGACCCGCGGGGAGTTCGGTGACGGAAGCCGCGCCATCAATCTCCCTGTCTCCAAAGCTGCCCCCCGTTCAGTCCTCACGTACGGAGTAAAATCTGGGACAATGGATAATCTCGCCACTGGGAATGCTGTCCAGTCGCAGGTATCCGCATGGCGGGAGAGGTCTGTGCTGGGGCGGCGACGGACTCTCAAATTCAATGGCGATCCCACTCCAAGACAAGCTTAAGGGCAGTTGTTTTCAACAGCGGAGAGCCTGCAATCGGAGGATCAAGCAGGCGATGAAAACTTTCTACACAGACATCGACCTTTGACTTGGTTGCTTGGGTGCCAACCTACCAAGATCCATATACAAAACAATAGTACCTAGCTAGGCAGGTCCGGACTGTCCACTCGCAAAAGTTGGCACCACGAAAACATCTTCATTCATGTAGAGTCTCAGATGATCGCTTAGAGTAGGCGGCTTCCCCGGCCCCAGAATTTTATGACCCGCTGGGCCGCTGGTGGTGGGGCGGCCTGCGGAAGCGTTGGGGGGCTTGTTCAGGGCTTTTCAGGGCTGCCCAGGACCGGATTGGCGGTGGTACATGTAGTTCGCCCAGCCATGATGGTTTCAATTCAACCAGATTGAATGTTCTGGATGGTTTCGGGTCTGGTGGCTTCTGGCGCTCCATGTCGGGACTCCACTGGCCGGCAACTACGATTGACTGTATATACAATCGTACTCCGTAGACATGGAGTCAATTCATCCATCAGTAAGTACTCAAACTACTCCGTAAATAAGCTGTGATCTACACTACAATAGCTCTCTTTGGCGGGGAGTGGCTCCAGTGTCAGGGTTCAATCTCTGGGTTTCTGCCCCAGTGCCGTCATTGTCCTCCACTCGACCATGAGAAAGAAGCAGCCAGAGTAATGCAGTTGACCCTTTGAATCTCGTCCATCTACCTAGGTAGGTTATCCGGCAGCAAATCCCAAGCTGCATTCGTCACACCTCTCTCCCCCATCCTTTGCGTCCGAACCGTTCGAAGCATCTGAATCAAGTCTGTTCCGCCCCTCACTCTCACACCCTCCCCCGCCAACAACGTGGTGGTGGTCTTGCATTCTTCCGCACCCATTCGATACGTGCCAAAGGTCGAGGCGAAATCATCCACAAAACTCTCAGTTTAGCAAGACGCAGCCAAGTTCTCTCTCGGTTCGGTGTGCGGAGTAGTTCGGCGAGGTCAGAAGGCTGCCGACGGGCGAGAAACAAGCAAGCACGCACACAGAACGGGCTATTATTTGCACAGACGACGCACCTCCAATCCATCTGGAACGCCACCGATTGCCCCTCCCTCCCGCTTGTCACCCAGAAGCTGTTGAGCTTGAGCTTGCTTGATTGGGACAATCATGTACGCGTATAATAAACCCATCAAGGCTATGGAGTGAGTCTCGCCCTTCTTCCTGTTACCGTCCCAATCTGCTTCACCTTCTTCGACATCTCTTCATTGTTCGAGCTGCTTCTTGATCAATTGGTAATCTTCGCCGGCTATACGTTTCAAATCTGGACACTCCTGTGCTTTAGAAGCTTCCGCAATGGACACTTTAGCTACTCGAATGGTTAATACTGACGGATTGCCACCCGTGAGCAGGCCGCCCAGTGTCTCGGTAATCCCCCCCAACCCCCCAAATCCCAAACCTGACAGCTTCTACGGTGCACTACTATGGATTGCTGTTTTCTGTAGCTTCAGTTTGCATTTGCGGATGTTGAGAAGAGCTCCATTATTGCAAATCGGCGACTTGAAGAAGCTAGTCTCGAGAGCATCACGAATAGTTGACTAACATGAGTGGCTTACATAGGACTATTATATTGGAGTAGACGTTGGTACTGGCTCTGCCCGTGCTTGTATCATTGACGAAACTGGTGATATTAAAGCATTGGCTTCGGAAAACATCAAGCTGTGGCAGCCCGAAACGGGATACTATGTACGAGATCCTGCCTCCCCGCGTCCCCCAAGCTTGCATTTTCGCCACCACTGACAGCGTTCAGGAGCAATCTACCACAGATATTTGGCAGTGCATTTGCGAGTGCGTCCGGCGAGTCGTGATTGACTCGAATGTCGATCCAAGCCTCATTAAAGGCATTGGTTTCGACGCTACTTGCTCGCTTGCCGTCTTTTACGCCGACACGGATGAGCCCGTTCCCGTCACTGGCCCAGAGTTCACCAACGATGGCCAGGACCGCAACGTTATTCTCTGGCTCGACCACCGGCCCGTTGACGAGACTGAATTGATCAACAGCACCAAGCACAAGCTCCTCAAATATGTTGGTGGCAAGATGAGCATCGAGATGGAGATCCCCAAGATTCTTTGGCTCAAGAATAATATGTCTGCAGAGCAGTTTGCCCGCTGCAAGTTTTACGATTTGGGCGACGCGCTTACCCACTTGGCCACTGGTAATGAGGCCCGTAGCTTCTGCAGCACAGTCTGCAAGCAGGGATATGTCCCTATCGGCGTTGACAATAGTGAGAAGGGCTGGCAGCAGGACTTTTTCGAGACCATTGGCCTCGAGGATTTGTCCAAGAACAACTTTGAGAGAATGGGAGGTGTTCAGGGTGTGGTGAGTTGGATAACCCGCGAGCTTCTATGCCAGTTCATCCTGACCAATATCCGCAGAATGGAACATATTTCAGTGCCGGCGAGTCTGTCGGCACATTGAGCCGCCAGGCTGCTTACCAGCTGGGTCTTCCCATGGGCATTGCTGTAGGAAGTGGCGTCATTGATGCCTACGCAGGTTGGATTGGTACCGTCGGCGCCAAGGTCGACCTCGGTGATGACGAACTCAATGCCAATGTGCCTCACAACGATCTTTCACAGGCCTTCACTCGCTTGGCTGCCGTAGCAGGTACCTCAACTTGCCATTTGGCCATGTCCAAAGACCCTGTCTTTGTTCCTGGCGTTTGGGGCCCATACCGAGATGTTTTGCTTCCTGGCTACTGGCTGGCTGAGGGTGGTCAGTCTGCCACCGGGGAGCTTCTGCGACACATGCTGGATATTCATCCGGCGTACAACGAGACTTGCGCGCTCGCCAAGGCCGAAGACAAGCACATTTACGATTTCTTGAACGCTCATCTGGAGTACATGGCCGAGAAGCACAATGCTCCTGGCATTCCTTATCTTGGGCGGCATCACTTCTTCTACGGTGATTTGTGGGGGAACCGGTCTCCAATCGCTGATCCCAACATGAAGGGATCAATGATCGGCCTTGACAGTGACAAGAGCACCGACAATATGGCTTTATGGTATTACGCCACCATGGAGTTCATTGCCATGCAGACCCGTCAGATCATTGAGCAAATGAACACGGCCGGCCACGAAATCTCATCCATCTTCATGTCCGGTTCTCAGTGCCAGAATCCCGTGCTGATGAATTTGCTTGCCACAACCTGCAGCATGCCAGTCCTTATCCCACGATATGTTCATGCTGCCGTCGTCCACGGAGCAGCCATGCTAGGTGCCAAGGCGGCCAGCCACAACAAAGAGGATGGCTCCGAGCCAGAGACCCTCTGGGACATTATGGACCGCATGAGCAAGCGCGGCCGGTTGGTCGAGCCGGGTACTGATGCTGGCGAGAAGGCGCTTCTTAATGCTAAGTATGAAGTCTTCCTGGAGATGTGTCAATCACAACAGCTGTACCGCAAGAAGATCGACAAGGCCGTTGAGAAATGGAGCACCGAGTTTGGCGGCGACTAGACAATGATGGATGAGCATACCATATCAAATAGAATGAATGCACAGGTAGATAAGGTAACATTAGGAGGTACTATACACGGGTTGGATATCGAGTTTGGGATATTTTTCATGAAATGGTTGCATAGAGATATTCGTTTTATCATTTTCAAGGTCAAGTACGCCTCACATAAGAGGTGAATTTTTCAGACGTATTTGATTGCCAATGACATAGTGATGTATAATTCCGGAGTAAGTGTACTACAATTCGATAGAAAATGGAAGAAATTGAAGACATGGAGAGGAGTATGATGAATCAAGTTGTGAGTTGATGCCTTGTACCAAATTGTCAATATTTCCGCCTCGTGCTGTGGATCCACAGCAACCAATGACTGGTTGCTAGACGTGGCCATTGTCAGCGCTGATTGGTCCAAGCTGGCAGCTCCTAGAAAAACAGACCAAAACCTCCAGCCTCGTCCATCACCAAATTTCTGAGGCATACACGCTCGCGCGTGGTTGTTCAGCCGGATTGCCTCGCCAACGCACGATTTTACGCACCTACGAGCAGTTCATACGCTTTTTTTTTGTTTTCAATTACTACCTTGCTGACCAACTGATCGATAAATTTATTCATCAAGTCATCTAATTTCGGCTCCTCCCCTCGCTTTCTTGCCCACGGCAGACACGCCACCATGGCTCTCTTCGGCCAGCCGACCACTGGAGCTAGTTCGTCGCCCTTTGGGCAGCCCGCGCAGAATCAACAGCAGACTCAAGGCGGCGGCGGCATTTTTGGTGCCGCAATGCAAAACAAACCTACGGGTGGAGGACTCTTTGGACAATCGACACAGCAGAGCACGACCCCTACAACTGGTACAACTGGAGGCATCTTTGGCGCTGCACAACAGAATAGGCCGACCACGGGGGGGATCTTTGGAGGCGGACAGCAGCAGACTGGAACTACGGGTGGCGGGTTATTTGGGCAAACACCACAAAGCCAAACGACGGGCACGACTGGAGGCGGCATCTTTGGCTCACAGCCTCAGGCTCAGCAGCAGCAGCAGCAGCAGAAGCCTTCTCTATTCGGAGGAACAACCGGTCCATCACTCTTTGGCGGTGCCTCTGCAGCACCACAGACGGGCGCCTTTGGAGGAAGTACTTTGGTAGGAAGCTCAGCCCAGCCCGCTGCGTTTGGCTCGACAACGACTGCCAGTGCCATGCAGCAGCCTCAGCAAAATACTGGTTTGTTAGGTGGTAGTCTCTGGGGTGCCTCGACCCAGACAGCTCAGCCTCAAGCTTCCCAACCCGCGGGCGCTTACTTTGACAGTTTGTTTGCCAAAACACAGAAAGAGGGTGGCGCCAAGACCAATATGGAGGACCTCCCCAGTCTCGAGCTCGGCCTAGGTGATTTGCGACATCGTCTGAGGAAACTTCAGTCCAAGCAGAACGAGAAGCCTCTGGACGGCAAAGCTCATTATTTGCTCGCTGCCTCGGGAGTCGATCCCAGCACGGCTGCCAAGGACCTTGGCCTGCTAGACGTTCAGGGCGGGCGGGTTGAGCGCACACATGGATATGCTCCTAGTGAGATCGATGTTGAGACGTACTTGTCCAACTTACAAACGAAGACGACACTCGATATGATTTCTGATGGCTTGGAACGATCCATCCGCGATTTTGATACCTTTCTTGAGGATAACGTGGCCATGGAGTGGGACGCCCAACGCAAGCGTATTTATCAGCACTTTGGCATCAGGCCACGAGAGGACTCGGCCGCTGCTGCTCGGGAGTCCCAGGGTGGTTTTGGCCGTTCTAGGAGAAAATCGCAGGCTGCTGGTGCTCGAACCGGCCGAAACAGTGTGTTGGGTAACACCATGCTCCAACGATCCGTTATTGGCACTCCCAGCCGGATTGGCACTCACCAATCGGAGTTTTCTGATATGGATCGTTCCGCTGATGCATCAGGATCCCTCAAATCACGCGGTACCACTGAAGACCGGGTACTTCGTGAGAGACAGGCCAAGTTGGCGGAGAAGGTTCGCACGCTCAACGTTGCTCGTGTCAGAAAGCATCCGTTCCCTATTCTCACGGAACTGGGTGAGGTGGAACAGAAGTCTCACGAGCCACATGCGTCGCATGTAGTTGAGGCTTACCGCGCTATGATTGAGATTGTAGGCGAAGATCCGGAAGCTGAAACAACAATCAACAGTGCGACAGCCAAGGAGCGCCAGTTTGCCGGCATGTACTTGGATGAAAACCCTAACTCTGCGGCTTCTGTCGCGATGAAGAAACGGATTCTCCATGGCTCGACCGCCTTCCTTGAGAAGCAGTTCCTGAGGGAGGTTGAGTCTCTGATTGCCAAGCATCCTCACGAAGCGAAGCTTGGTGGTTTGCCAGACATCACAAGCAAAATCAAGGCGTATATCCGTCTTCGTTCTGCCAGGAAAGACTTGGTGCCGGACAATACGGAGCTACAGCAGATTCAGGGCGAGTTTGTCTGGGCTGTAGTATTCTACCTGCTGAGATCTGGTCATGTGAATGAAGCAGCCCAATATGTCAACGACAACAGCAACCATTTCATGGGAATTGATCGCACTTTTGCGACATATCTCAACAACTACGCCGCCAGCGAGGATCGGCGGATAACAAGTAGAAAGCTGCTGGACCGATGTACCAATGAGTATATCCAGCGATCGCGAAATGCTCCCGAGAACTCTATCGATCCGTTCCGCATGGCTTGTTACAAGGTCATTGGACGAATTGAGCTGAGCAATCGTAATTTGGATGGCTTAAACACCGATATCAACGACTGGATCTGGCTACAGTTCAACCTCGCTAGGGAAGGGGACAAGACAGTCGAGATGGCTGGCGAGTCATACGGTTTGGCAGAGCTGCAATCGAGCATCAAGGAAATCGGACTCAAACACTTTCCAAAGTCCACTTCGGAGGATACCACGAACGGCAGCTTCGGCATGTTCTTTTATCTGCAAATTCTAGCAGGCATGTTTGAGGATGCCATCGCATACTTGTATCCGTTTTCGTATGTGGATGCTGTCCACTTTGCGTTGGCACTGGTGTACTACGGACTGCTGCGTCCAAGCGATCCCATGTCGGCATCAAACGATTTGCGCAGCTACAGTGTCAAGAATCTGCCCCAGATCAACTTTGGTCGCATGATTGGGTACTATACGAGAGACTTCCGAGCTGCGGATGTAGTGTCTGCTGTGGATTACCTCACTCTTATCTGCCTCAACAAGGACCTGGGCGGTGAGGCCGGCGAACGCCAGAGCAACCTGTGCCACGAGGCTTTGCGCGAATTGGTGCTTGAGACTCGTGAATTCAGCAAGCTTATTGGCGATATTCGACCAGACGGCCGCGCTATCCGTGGCATCATTGAAGAGCGCGGCGCTTTGATTGGCCTCACAGAGGAGACAGACTTTGTCAACACAGTGACATTGCAGGCGGCTAGTTTTGCAGATGAGAGCGGCCGCACCACCGACTCGGTCCTCCTGTACCATTTGGCTGGTGAGTATGATACCGTCGTGGCCATTGTCAGCCGGGCGCTCAGCGAGGCCATCTCTCTGGAGATTGGTGAAGATCCCATGCGTCTCATGCCTGTCAAGCCCCGAGCCGGCGGCGCAGAGGCGGACTCTCAGCAGGGCAGCAGTCTCAGCCTAGCGTCAATCGACGACCCCGTCGAGCTAGCAAGGACCATGATGACCATGTATGAGCGCGAGGTCATGTTCTATCGCAAGATTCAGGACCAGAACAAGACAGCATGCCGTGTTCTCCTAGAAATGAGCAGCATCAAGAAGCTAGTTGAGGCCGGCCAATGGGCTCAGGCACTGGATGTAAGTTTACGCCTCCCCTAACTGCACGATGCCGCAAACATGATGGAAGTTGCTATTCTAACACTTGCCCCCAGAAAATCCGCGGCCTGGAAATCCTGCCTCTCCACGCAGCCGGCGACGCAAGCACCATTCGTGCGTACGCATCCAAATTTTCGGGTCTATCGCAGCCAGTTTCCATCAATGTTCCCAACCTGCTTATGTGGACGATTATATGCTGCGTTCGACAGAGGGAGCAGCTCAACAATGGGCAATTCAGTGGCAATGAGGGTACGAGGAGGATGATGGTGGAGCAGTTGAAACAGATGACGCTAGATTTGACGACATATACTAGTCAGTTGAGGTACAGGTTTCCGCCGCATTTGCACGAGGCGTTGGCGAGGGCATCGGCGGAGTAGCTGTTATGCTGCGGGGGGTTGTCTTGTATGATGGGCTATTGAGATTGAGTGCTTGGAAAGCAGGTAGTTGTTGCGGAATATCATTCTTACAATGGGGTTTACGCAGGTCTATGGGCCTTGTTTATGTTGGTGAGGCATGATGTACGGTTAGACACTGATGGGGTGAATATCATCTTGCTGGCATGTCGTTCAGGTGCCAGAGAGACTTGTCGCGTTGCTGCAGGGCACCATGAGACAGAATGCAATTGGCTCAGATGATTGGGGGTGTTGCAGCAACATGCCGTGTCTGCTGTACCCGGAGAGAAACCCGGCCTTGAGTAGTTCTCTCTGCAGAGTCTTGACTGCCAGGGGACATCCCGTAGTGGGGCTGTTGGACCTGCAGACGCTGCACTTGTTTGCAGCTTTTCGGATATTGTTGGCTACGGGCTTAGGAAACAAATATCGAGATGATAAGACCTGCGGATGAAATAAAATTTCCAACATGTTACATGCCTACGCCGTTACCTTAGTACTCCGTATGTAGTTATGAAATATTGTGGTGTTGAAGTCCACGTGACGAGACAACCAAAAATGTGCCCCATGGCTCCAGCCCCTCTTGCCAATTGAACTCGTTCTCCTCCATGACTCAGGAAGGACGAGAACATAGCGCTCCTTCTGATTCAGAGCCTCTCATCCCATAGGCGAGAGTTTTGCCCAAGAATCACTTCCCCACTCAACCTTCTCCATCCATGCACCACGTTGCGTATCGTGTTACGTCCAACCGAGCATGACCGCCCTGATCTGGACCCTTTGTTCTGGGTTGCCCTTGTGCAGCACTATCTAGCCGCCGCTGTGCCCTTCCCTGGAGCCAGGGCAGGAAGGCCTGTCTTTTGTCGTCAGATTGCTCTGGTCTGATTAGCTCGGGGCCCGGCCGTTGCAGGCGCACGGTGTCGGCACGCGTCGTGGATACCGTCATACCCTCCTCGGACGGAGCTGAGTCCGTTGCCTAGGCAAGCTGGAACATCAGCTAACTAACAGGTAACTACGGAGCAGCCAGCCGTCATCGGCAACTCTTGGCCCACACGGACGGACGGACGGTCAATCCGGTGGCCGTCGGCCATCAGGGCTCGGAATGGCCTCCGCAGCAGGCGATGCGGTCGACAGCTCAGATGCGAGGTCGCCCAGTACCGCTCCCACTCCTGGCGTTGGTGGTACTGGGCCTGGACCTGGACCTGGGGCAACTGGCATTAAACGCGGCCTAGACGGCGAGGCCAGATGTGATGAGAAGGCCGCCGGCGATGGCGAGGCTGGAGTGAAGAAGAAGAAGACGGGGTCTGGGAGTCGAGGCGTGGCCAATTTGACTCCCGAGCAATTGGCCAAGAAAAGGGCAAATGGTACGTGATATTCTGGGCTGCGGTGCCAGCTTACAAGACAGTCCGTGCGCAGTATTCCGATATCTTGATGGAAATACTTGGCTAACGCTGAATATCGATGCTTAGACCGGGAGGCTCAGCGGGCCATTCGCGAAAGAACCAAGAACCAGATTGAAGCTCTGGAAAAACGCATTCGGGACCTGACAAACCAGAAGCCCTATCAGGAACTTCAGGCTGTTGTCGGGGCCAAGCAGGCAGTTGAGCAGGAGAATGCTGATATCAAACGTCAGTTGGCAAACATTATTAGCATTCTGAAACCAATTGTTGATTCATGTACGTGAAAAAGTGTTCTCATGCCGCCTTTCAACACCTGCCATGCACAGGCAACCGGCAGGACTCGGTTGTATAAGTAAGAGCTGGGTAGCTAACGGCCTGTTCAGCATCGGGAGAAGCCACACATGTTTCACCAACTCATACATTTTCCCCGCCAACAACGGCGGTGCCAAGCCCAGGCATTCATCAATACAGCGCTACTACACCCGCAACAACAGCTTCTCCTGCCGCAAACCTGGATCAAATCCAACAACAGTTGCAGCATGTGTCACCTGGCCTGAGCGATGACTTAATTGGGCCCCCAGATGCCCACACGGGCTTATATATAGCACAATTGCACAACCAGAAGCTTCAGCTGCGTCAAGGACTTAACATGAGTGGAGAGCGGCTGGGACTGGACTTCTTGCTACGGCCAGGTGAGCGTGTGAGTAGGATTCAGGCTGGCGCCAACGGTGCTCAAGACTCACAACAGTATCATCATGTTCCCATGAAGCATGACTGGGCGGCCAGCCAGAACGAGCAAGAAGGCCATCACCCCTGGACCTCGTCTGACCCTTCTGGACAATTGCCCGAGTCCTCAGGATCCGACGGGTACCGACAGGCAGAAAGCAGTCCATCCGGCATAGTACCACATCACCCCGGGGCACTACAACAACATAATCCAGAATCAAACCCCAACGGCCTTCCTTTCTACGCACAACAACTCAAGCATAGTCATCCCTCGTGTCCGTTGGATTCTTTGCTTCTCAACTTCCTCTCCGAACGTCGCCAGCGCATTGCCGACGGTGTTCCCATCCGAGAAGTCATTGGTCCGCGATACCCGTCTGTATCATCACTTCTCAATCCGTCCAACAGCGTATATAGCCATCCCCTCTCTCGAGTATTCACCGACATTCTCTCCACATTCCCCGGTATATCGCGGCTACCAGAGCGCGTTGCTTCCCTCTACGTCATGTTTCATCTAATGCGCTGGCAAATCTCACCCACTCGCGACAACTTCAAGCTCATCCCCGAATGTATGATCCCCAAACAGCCACAAATGGATTATGCTCACCCGGCATGGCTTGACCTGTTACCATTCCCTACCATGAGAGAACGACTAACCCAAATATGGAACCCTCGTCAATATGATCTGGACAACTGGTTCATCCCCTTTACGACGTCACTGCGGGTTAGTTGGCCCTACGAGGAGACGGATGCGCTTTTAATGCTTCCAGACTCGGACGAAGTCGTGATAAACCCAGTGTTTGAGAGGCATATACGGAATCCCGACAACTGGAAGCTCGGAGAGAGGTTTGCAAGAGCATTTCCAGAATTGGCGGGCACATATCAATTGGACCCCTCGATAGATTGCTAGGATAATCGCGGGCTGTTTGTCGGTGAGTGGGGCTGGAGTATGGTGTACTCCGTACATACGGTGCTATTCAAGGATGTGATGGAGTCGTCAGTGGTATCATGTTGTGCCATGAAATTGCAGCCATCTATTGACCAGTTAATCTCTGCAGACTACTACTATGTAAGTCTCACATATTACTACTAGTATTACTATCCGCAAGGAACAATCCCACCAAGAAGCGTCAAAAACAATTTCCTGCGCCCCATTCTCTCTATCCACGCGCGGACCGCCTCAATGCTTGCCTCCATTTCGTCCCACTGCCCCCACCAAACCCCCAACGCAAGAAGGCCTAGTCCACAAAATTCCCACCATGTTCATCCACAACCACAAATCCTTTTTTTCTTGTTCTCCCCTTTCCCAGCCGCCATTCCTCTTCCCTTTGCTCCAATCTTATTATAACGCATTATCTCGCCCTCTCCTCAACAGCAGCTGATTCAGCAATTCGCGTGATTGGTTTAGTGGTAAAATTCTCCGTTGCCATTCGAGCAGCGTCGGGGAGCCCTGGGTTCGATTCCCAGATCACGCAGCCTTGCCGTCTCAGTTGTTCCTCTCCTTGTCACCAGCGTGATTGGTTTAGTGGTAAAATTCTCCGTTGCCATCAGCAACGTCGGGGAGCCCTGGGTTCGATTCCCAGATCACGCAATGCCTTTCTTTTTGTTCTTCGTTATGTGTAGTAGTATGTGGAACGGATTTCCTTTTTTGGCGGGGGAGAGAGAGAGACTGACTGTGTTAATCGCGCGAGTGAAGGGAGTTGTTGCGGATTGCTGTGGTGGAAGGCATGTGTGAGTTTCTTTTTCCTTTTTTTTTTTCAACTCTTGGCTGTTGCCAAACCAAGTCTTCCCGACACGTAAATCCGGGAACTTGTAATGGGATATGTCGGACGTGGCTGTTTAGGTGGCGATGGCTATAAGTGAGGTTGGCATTGCCTGGAATCGCTCATTGCAGGATGTGCGTGTCCAACACATACCCCACGGAGAGAGAGGCTATATTCTAATCAAAATGTGATACGGAAACAAGGCGCCAAATCGGAGTGGATAATCTCGCGTGTGTGTGACGACGACATGTTCAACAGTAGCCAGTATCATGAGCAGTTCTTTGCGTGTATATCTATCTATGAAAGAGCAGTATGCTGAGCCTGGGCACCTGGGTAGGTAGTCAACTGACTTGGGAAAACCCAACATGGCAACGCCGTACACCAAAACGTCAAAAATCTTATCCAACGGACGGCGAAACAGCCATCAAGCCTGGTCATTAAAGGCCCTTGCCCCAAAGGAAAACTTCCTCAACGACTGCCCTTGGCCCACCCACAGGCTCGGGAGTCTATCGCCCGCCATGCTGTGAAACATCAACGCCCGAATGGGAGTATCGGTGCTCACGGCGCCCAGTGCCCTGCTCTTAAGCGCCCTGCCCGTATGCAACGAGAACAGCTTGACCGTGCCGTCGTCCTGCGCCGCCGCCACGACGCCTAGCTCGGGGCTCACGTCCCACCCGGTATGGAAGTGGGCGGCATTCTTGTACCCCGGGAACGAGAGGAGCGGCGTCGTCCCGTTGGGCCCATTCTTGAAGAAGCGCATGTCGTAGAGGCCCATCTTGTCCTGCAGCCCGGCTGTCAGGACGTGGTGCTCGTTGACGCTGCGCAGGTGCGCTATGGCGCTGGGCTGGCGGGCGCATGCCCACTCCGTCACGGGGGTGCGCAGGTCTGTCGTCCAGAGGCGTGGCTGTCGGCCGCCCGCGAGGAGCACGTTGTGGTTGGAGAACTGGAAGTCCTGGTCGAAGATTTCCTGCGGCAGCTGCGTGCCTTTGGGGGGTTGGGCCGGTGCCGCCCTGGACATGGAGTCGTTGGAGCGGACGAGCACGACGCCGGCGTTGGTGCCCATGACGCAGAGGAGGTCGGATGACGGCGGCGCGGGCGTGCTCTGGTGGACGAGCCATTCGTCGCGGATGCGGCCGTGGATGGCGAGGCGTTGGTAGTGGTCACCTATGTGAGGTCAGTTACTGCGTTTGGGTTTGCCACGTAGGCCTAATACATGCGATATCAACGCCGTCCACTGGGGAGAGAAGGAGACGAAACAAGGCGAGATGGGCGTAGAAACAAACGCAAAGGACTCACTTTCTCCCAACAGCCACTGCCCCCTCGTCCTGGGCTCCTCCGAAACAAGCGGCGAGAACAAGTACAGTCCGCAGCTATGGTCCGGCTCCCGCGACGTCAGCAACATCTTGTGCGACGGCTCATGGTACTTGATGGACGACATCTGCGGACATCGTATCATCTCAGTCCGGAACTGGGGGGTTCGACGTCGTTCGAGGGTCACCGGATCCGTCCCAAACGTCAATCTATATGGCACGTCAGTCCCCTGGAGACTCCAAACACACACCCAGAGAAAGGTAGTTGACATACACATCATTCTCATCCGTAGAGGTATGCGTCCCCAGCAGTGACTCCTCGTCCAATGCTAGCACAAGATCAGCAGTCCATTCATATCTTCCGTCTCCAAAAAAAAAAAAAAAAAAAGTAAGCAACAGGAAAGCAAAAAACGGCTGGAAAAGAATAACAACATAAACTTACTCGCATACACAACTCCCGTACTCCCAACCCAAAAACAACTCATATTCACCTCCCTTCCTCTCCCAAAACTCGGCATAAACCGAACGCGCCCTTTGCTCTGCAGGCCGCCAGCCCATGCCGCAGCACCGATGTCCTCATCAAAGCTCCTACCTCGCCCGTCCTCCGCAACACGAGTACACTCCACCTCGCGGCTCAACAAGCCCCCAGAAATCACATTCCTCTGCAGCCCATGTCGTTTGATGTGCCTCTTTACCAACTCAGCCTGAAGGCGGGCCTCCTGCCGAGCTGCGTCGTGAATCTTGCGCCGTTTGACAGCGTCAGAGGAATAGGACGTCGACAAGGCAGTCGAGCCACTTTCTACCTTGAAGTATTTCTTTTTAGCGGCATCTGTACACGATTAGCATGCCGTCCTCTCCGTTTTATTTCCTCTCCTCCCACGACTTTGGCTCCTCCACAACACTCCTCCTCGCTCTCATATCGCTCCTCTCCCCGTAGTCCATTTGGTCTCTCCGATCGTCCGTCTTGTTTTCTTTTTTTTTTTTTCCCCGTCCTAACCACCCTCTTCATCTCTGTCTTTCATTCGCTCACGCCTTGGTTCACAGCCTCGTTCCTCATCTCTCTCACATCTCGATCCTCCTCCTTTCCACGCCCCCCACCAAACTCATCCAAACCAGCCAGAATAGAAGAATAAATAGCAACACATCAACGTACCGTAATAATACCCCGGAATCTCCATAACTTTCACAGTCTCTCTCGCCCATTCATTCGCCTTGAATGGCCACCAGACAAATAACAGTACCAATGCCAGGACCTCATGAACCAAATCCCGTGTTCGAGTCCCATGAGGCCATCAGCAAAATCTCTCGCGTGATTCCTTTTCAACTATTCGCGCAATTATAATCAATCGTTTCCAATAAATAAAACGAAAAGCACCATGCGAAATCATGGCATTTCGTTGGCAAGATGAAGAAAAACGCATCCAGGCCATGGAGCAAGTCCGTCGAGCTGAGACCCGAGTAACTGGTTACAATCACGTGATGCGACTTTAAGCTTTTACCCCGGCCAAGATTGCATAAACATTGACCGTGTCTGTTTTTAGCAGTGACCAAAAAGCAACCTCTCCAGACTTACGTGCATACACTACCACTTCCCCAGAGGCGGGCATTGCATCAGTACAGATCGTGCGGATGCTGGGATCGAATCAACTTCGATATCATTCACTGCAGAATTAGGAATTGGAACCATGTACACGGGAGAATTACACTGAAAGAAAATTCACTAAACACATATCCGCATGGCGACCGCATAGTCAACATCACTCGTAGGCACACCAAATATAATTATTTTTTTGATTTATTCATTAGGTGTCTAGAAGACGGTATCTCTAGGGGTTAAAAAAAAAAAAGAAAATTGGCCTCCTCATCCACACCGCGTTGATGCTCACGTTCAAGACTCATACAATGCAAATTTAAACATAGTGAAAGCGAAAGAGCAGGGGCAAGGCCATGCGGGTATGTAATTGTAGAGCCATTCTATATTTACGAAGACTTCTCGTGCTGGGTCGATACACGCTGGAGGGAGACGACTGCGAAATTGTTAGCGAGTGACCTTGGCAGTGATGAACATGTATAGCATGGCGGGAAAGTATAAACATACCAAAGTCTTCTAGCGATCGCTGCTTCTGGTCCTTCTTGGGGGACTTGCCGTGCATGAGGTTGTCAAAGCCGGCGCTTCCCTGCATGAAGTAGTAAAGGCCACCCATGACGGCAAAGATACCGAATGAGAAGATCCAAATACGGACCACAGCAACAATAGAGGTCTGGCCACCAACGAACCAACCGAAGAGACAGAAGAAGGTGGCGAGAATGTCGACGACCAGGATGGCACCAGTGAGCTGCCACGAGGGGATGGAAGACCAGAAGGGGCCGTTGGCACGAGTGATGAAGATCAGCCAGTTCTCAGTAAGGGAGATCTCGAGGAAGAGAACTTCGTCGAGTTTACCAAAGTTCTGAACGATACCGCCGTTCTCAGTGCCAGCAAACATGGTGGTGAGGGCAATCCAGGTTCCGATGGCCAGGACAACACCGAGGAGGACGGACATGCCCCAGAGCTTGGGCAGATTCCACTTGACGGGGGTCTGAGAGTAAGGAGCATTGTCGTAAGCAATAGCCAAGGTGGCAATGTCGGCGAAAATGGCAATGAAGACAACGAGCTCGATGTTGAGAGACTGGTTGAGAATGGCAATCCAAAGACCGAGGAAGATCTCCATGTGCAAGGACAGGGCGATACGGTAGACGACGTAAGCGTACATGCGGTGGAAGATCTGGCGAGAAGTCTTGAGGGCATCAATGATGGCACCGAGACCGGGGGCAAGGAAGACAATATCGGCGGCAGA